GGGCTGCAGTTATGGCTTCCCTGTTGACACAGCATCACTGCACAATGCACGCACGCACGCGCAATCAAGTGCGCGCGTGTGTACAACAAACACACACACATACAGTGGAGGATGAAGAAGGGAGGGAAAAAAATCGGCCATCATCATCTTCATGCTTGATTAAAAAAAAGATTTAAAAAAAATAATAAAGAATAACAAAAATATCCCCTCACGCACACGCACGTGCACTTCACTGACTCTCACACACACACACACAGACTGACTCCCTCAGCCCCGCATGCATCCACCCCGACCTGTGGGTGACTCGATGCCTGCCGAGGCGTACCCGGAGGCGGTCGGCGACGGGGATGTTGAGGCGGGGGGGATGATGGAGCCTCCACCGCCGGAGTTGATGCTGTTGCCGCCGCTGCCGCCGCCGCCGCCGCTGCTGCCGCCGGGCTTGGAACACTTCTTGGATGATTTCTTCTCCTTCATCCAGGGGAACTCGTGGGCCAGTGGACCCGCCGCGGCCGCCGTGACCGGGGAAGGGGCGGCCTGCCCCAGCGGTCCGGGCTGCTGTGCGCCTCTGTGGTGCGTGTGGAGGCCATTGGTGCCGGAGCTCCTTCGGTTCTGCTGGCTCCTCGCTGCCGGTCTCGGCTGGCTGGCTGTGCAGGGGCTGAGGCTGGGGATGGTGTGCTCGAAGGGAGGCGGAATTACTGTCGACTCCTTGATTGATGAAGTTTGAAATGACTCCAGGGCGGCGGGGAAGGACGTCAGACACTCTGCTAGGGATGGCTGGCTGTTGATAAAACCAATCTCCCTTTCAAATTCAAAATTCATAGCTTCCACAAACCGGGTTCAGCTACAAACGTGGCGAGACCCCGGAACAATTCCTTCCCCAAAATAAAACAAAAAAATAAAAAAAAAAACACACACAAAAAAACAAAACAAGATACATAAACACGCACACTGCGCACGCACACGACCCAATATGGCTTCTCCAAAAATAGAAAAGAAAGGGAAAAATTGTGGCGGCGGTGCAGGATCCAGATCGCGGCGGCGGCGCAGCTGCGGCGTCGATATAATAATTGTGTATATTGGTGATATTACTAGCGTGTGGGGACCTGGCTAAGCTAAACTGAACAACTATGGGACGAAATTGCAGCCAATTCCTGGTCATGTGGGCTAAACCGGCCAATCAGGTGGCGGGGCCTCGTGAGCAGTGATGGCTGTGGGAAGCAGCGGCATTATTATTTTTTTTTTCTTCTTCCACCAAATGCTGTGGCAGGCCCCGGCCCCCGGCCGCCCCACGATGCTGCCCTTCTCTTTTT